GGTGATCCGGCCACCTCAGCCTTCCAAAGTGTTAGGATTACAGGCGTGAGCCACCATGCTCGGCCAGTGCTATTATTATTAACACCCAGGATTAGTTAGAGGTACTATTATTTTTATTAACCACTAAAAATATTTTTTTTTTTTTTTTTTTTTTTGAGACGGAGTTTCGCTCTTGTTACCCAGGCTGGAGTGCAATGACGTGATCTCGGCTCACCGCAACCTCCGCCTCCCGGGTTCAGGCAATTCTCCTGCCTCAGCCTCCTGAGTAGCTGGGATTACAGGCACGCGCCACCATGCCCAGCTAATTTTTTGTATTTTTAGTAGAGACGGGGTTTCACCATGTTGACCAGGATGATCTCGATCTCTTGACCTCGTGATCCACCCGCCTCGGCCTCCCAAAGTGCTGGGATTACAGGCTTGAGCCACCGCGCCCGGCCTAAAAATATCTTTTTTTTTTTCTTTTCTTTTTTCTTTTTGGAGATAGAGTCTCAGTCATTCTATCACCCAGGCTGGAGTGTAGTGGTATAATCTTAGCTCACTGCAACCTCTGCCTCCTGGGTTCGAATGAGCAATTCTCCTGCCTCAGTCTCCTGAGTAGCTGGGATTATAGGGATGCACCACCATGCCTGGCTAATTTTTGTATTTTTAGTAGAGATTGGGTTCCACCACGTTGGCCAGGCTGGTCTCACACTTCTGACCTTAAGTGATCTGCCTGCCTCGGCCTCCCAAAGTGCTGGGACTACAGGTGTGAGTCATTGTGCCCGGCCAACACCACTTATAATATCTTTACTGTCCAAACAATGGAAACCATGGATGACAGACACCATTTGACCACAAGACAAATGAGAATAAGATAGGTGAGAATCTGTGGCCATCTGTGGGCAGGGCAGTTAACATGAATAATTCAAAGTAAGGAACAAAAATAAACACCAGTGATGAACTAACACTTGAACACGTGAAAGACATATTACGCTGTTGCACAGAAAAACTTAATATGCAAGACAAACTCTACCTAGGATAATCTAGAAACAGTAACTTCAAGAAATATATTGAATGGATTCATTTTTCTTCTACGAAGCTATACAATAAATAAGAATAGTCAGGACAACTCCGAAAAATAACAGGGCAAGGGGTCAGGCTAGCCCTGTTACATGTTAAAATATATTATGAAGCCTGATGGAAAGATCAACGGATCAGGAAAGAAAGTCCAGAAATAGACCAAATACATGCAGGAATTTAGAGCATGACAAAGGTGGCATTTCAGTGGGAGATAGATTATAAACACGATGGTGAGATGACCAAGTAACCCTGCCTCACATCTTATGAACAAAACATATAAAAAAAAAATAAAACCAGAAGCCCACAAACAAGTAAGCAAATTCTAGATTGGCCAATGATTTAAAATGTAAAAACATTAATAGAAGAGAAGATAATTCTTTTTTGTAAGACGGAGTCTTGCTCTTGTTGCCCAGGCTGGAGTGCAATAGCGTGATTTCGGCTTATTGCAACCTCTGCTTCCAGGGTTCAAGCGATTTACCTGCCACAGTCTCCCAAGTAGCTAGGATTACAGGTGCCTACTGCCAGCTAATTTTTGTATTTTTAGTAGAGATGGGGTTTCGCCATGTTCGAGATCACCAGGCTGGCCTCGAACTCCTGACCTCAGGTGATCCACCTGCCTCAGCCTCCCAAAATGCTGGGATTACAGGCATAAGCCACCGTGCCCAGCCAAGGAAATATTTTTATAATTTCAGAACATGGATGGCTTTTATAAACTTGATAATACATGAAGAAGTCATTTTAAAAACCACAAAATATTAGCCAGGCATGGTGGCGTATGCCTGTAGTCCCAGCTACTTGGAAGGCTGAGGCAGAAGAATTGCCTGGACCTGAGAGATGGAGGTTGCAGTGAGCTGAGATTGCACCACTGCACTCCAGCCTGGTGACAGAGCGAGAATCTGTCTCAAAAAAAAAAAAAAAAACAAAAAAACACAAACACACAAACACACAAAATAAATCTATGCCAAGAAATAATTTTTCACCTATTAGATCAGTACACATAACCAAAATAAATCACAGTAGTAGAGAAAGACAGGGAAATAGGTACTCGCCTAGGCTGAGGGTGGGAGTAGAGATGTACCTTTCTCTACAAAGGACATCTCTGCAGGCCTACAGAAAGCAATATGGAAACACCCATCAAAATTATGGTTACATATTTTTCAAACCAGAGATTCTTCTTACTCTGGAGCCCCTTTTTATTAGACACACATGTATGAGTATGACATCATGTAAATATAAACATAGTTTATGTACCATATTTTTAATGGAAAAAAGTTGGGAAACACCTAAATCTGCATCAGTAAAGAAGTACTACAATACATTAGTATATACTCATATAATGAAATGGTATACAGCTATCAAGAAAAAATAAGTCTTATCTAGAGACATGCACCAGAAAAATGATTTTTTTTTTTTTGAGATGGAGTTTCGCTCTTGTTACCCACGCTGGAGTGCAGTGGCACAACCTCGGCTCACCGCAACCTCCGCCTCCTGGGTTCAAGCAATTGTCCTGCCTCAGCCTCCCGAGTAGCTGGGACTACAGGCGCGTGCCACCATACCCAGCTAATTTTTGTATTTTTAGTAGCGACAGGGTTTCACCATGTTGACCAGGATGGTCTCGTCTCGATCTCTTGACCTCATGATCCACCCACCTTGGCCTCCCAAAGTGCTGGGATTATAGGCGTGAGCCACCACACCCAGCTGAAAAAAGATTTTTTTAAAAAAACAAGGCCCCTTTCTTTATACTGATTTCAAAAGATCTCTTTAAACATTAAGTTTAAAAAGAATGGCACACATCAGTATGTATGTATACATCTCATTTATATGAAATCAGGAAATACATATGTCATTACTTATTATACATAAATTGTCTGGAAGGATATATAAAATATTGTGAACACTGGCTGCCTCTAGAGAGGGAAAACTGGAAGGGGTTTAATGGAGGGAGGCCAACTTACATTTTACTGTATACTCCTTTTTACCATGTGAATGTATTAACTAACCTATTCAACAATTTTGAAAAAATTTTTTAACTACTAAAAAAAGTACACATTGTCCTTAGGGAAAAGGTATGGTTGAATTTAGAAAAGAAAGAATAAATTTTGTCCAAAACCAATTATCCTTCCCATAGCCACTCTGTAAGGCCACTGCTAACAGTCTCTGTGCCTGGCCTCACCCAGGCAGGGCCCCAAAAGTTCTGCAGCACTTGTCTTGCTTCAAGAACAACAAATCCTCTTTTTGTATTTCTTTGGAAATACTGAGCACAAAGAGATGACTAGGATTTCACAGAAATTACATGTTAACCTTTGGATCACTGCTGAAACTAAAGAATGGGTCTAGAAACCAAAAGGAAAGAACTGGATAGAACGCTGGAAATCTTAATGAATGCTGGAAAGCGCTCTACATACTACTTCATTTTCTGTCTTGGTAATAGGGAAGCTAATAGAAGATAAAAACAGAGAAGATGAGAATGTTTTATGCAAATAACAATCTTTAGCATTCTTTACTCACACAGCAGTATTCCTTAGTGGGTACAAATTCATGCATAGAACAAGCTTTACCCAAAAGAACAAGTCCATACCATGCAGAACACAATCCCATGATGAAACCTCTCCAAAAGCCTGACTGGCTACTAAAACCAATTGGTGTTTTTTTAAATTCTGGAGTTAGTAGATACATCATGCAAGCTGGGAAACAGTGATTAAGAAATAGTGTCACTTGTAGGCTGTGAAAAACCTCAAAGACAAGGAAACCTTTTTTGAAAGATTCAGGGAGGCCACGATTAAATGTATACTTTTTGGAGGATTTGGGGGTGGGGGGAAACAGTGCTACCATTTCTAAATCTTTTTTTTTTTTTTGAGAGGGAGTGTCACTCTGTCACCCAGGCTGGAGTGCAGTGGTGTCATCTGGGCTCACTGCAACCTCTGCCTCCTGTGTTCAAGTGATTCTCCTGCCTCAGACTCCTCTGTAGCTGGGATTACAGGTGCCCGCTACCATGCCTGGCTAATTTTGGTATTTTTAGTAGAGACGGGGTTTCACCATGAGACCAGGTCAGGCTGGTCTCAATCTCCTGACCTCAGGTGATCCACCCACTTCGGTCTCCCAAAGTGCAGGGATTACAGGCGTAAGCCACAGCAACCGGCCTCATTTCTAAATCTTAAAGGAACCATCTTCTTAATCTCATTCCAATTACTTGACTGATTAGAGCCCAAAAGGGTAAAATTATGAGAAACACAACATGGGCAAGTTTTACTGACTATGTTTGGTGGACATAGACTATGCCCAAAACTCAAACTCACATGCAACTGTGGGCCAAGGAATATAAACAACAGACTGGTCAAAAATGTATCTGTATTATTAAGAGATCATTTTCCACTATTAAAAACATAAATAAATCTGTGCCTACCAATGCTGGTTTGAGGCCACCATTTCCTCATAAGGAGGTAGACTGATTTCATTTAACCTAAAAGCAATTTGGATATTTAGTCCCACCAGCACAAGCTACACATGCAGTGAAAAAAATCTCATGCATATAGTTAGACATAAAATATTTTTTCTTTTCTCCTGTGAATCCTTATATCAAGTAATGATTAAAATTTAGCTGTAAACTTTATACATAGGAGGCACAATTTAAAAAAAATTAAGAAATGGATGATGATAGGTCTTCTGTTAGACAATTCATTGAAAATTCAACTTCCCCTAAAATTCAACGTTCAGTGCTGGGTAAAAAGGCATGCAACCAAGTTACCAGCCTCCTCAAGCTGGACACAAGGAGCACACTGGCTGCAGAAAACACACAACAGCAGTTACAGGTTTCATGCTGGCAAACCAATGATTAACAAGGATGATTAGAGTCTGGATGGAGCCAAGGCACGAGCTCTTTGCCTTTTTGATGCTGACTCAAAAGCCACAAGCACACACATTTCCGCATGGCAGGTTCATACCAGTGGACTTCAGTTGCTTATATCTCTCTTGTTCCTGGATTGTAGACTTTGGCAAAAGTGGAGTAAGTCCACGGGACTTGGTGGGTCTCATGTAGCCTTTCATTGGTTCTGTCATTCTGCTTTTATCTTCCTTTTTCCCTTCTCCCAGTGTCTTTGATTCAGATTTTTCTGTCATTTTCTGAGGTGTCTCTGAGATCTTATCTTTGGGTTCCGGGAGTCGAACACCCTTGGAAGCAGTCATTATTACTAACTTATCCGCCACCTCTGAAGGAGGAGCTTCGGCTTTGCTATGTAAGAAATCTGACCTGATTTCTGGTGTTGGCAAGGAAACACTTTCCAATTCCATGATTTTACAAGTCAGACTAATCCCTTTCAATTTATCATTTTCACTTTTTGGAGACAAAAGAGTCAGATTTACCTGCTTATTCAAACTATCTGTACCCTTGGAATTTCTATCTTGAGCATTTTGGTCCTCACAAAAACTGAGCTTTTGTGCTTTGTCTTCTAGTAAGTCAGGAAGTTGAACTGGGGCAGACCCTTCTTTAGTCTCTTTCTCTTCGTTCACTAAATGTGCTGGGAAATTACCTCTATCTGCATATGCTTCTAGGGCTCCGACCTCTCTTGGTAGGCTCTGGTCTTCTACTGGCACTCCAGGAAGGAAGTGACCTTTTGCTAGCGCTGTGACTTTCTCTACTGAATGCTTAGATGCACCATTGTGCACTGACTCATATTCTCCTACCACATGCCCTTCATCGATCCCTGCTTCATTTTTCATGGAATCAGCAAGCTCACCTTTATTCTTAAGAGAGTTATCTCCATGACTGTTAACTGTTTCTATGGCTGCTGTAATAGGCAGAGCAACTCCTCCTGTGCTTGTAGAGGGCACAACAGCAGAGGGAGGCTTGGGTCTTTCTTGACCTGGGACTCCATCTTTAGTATAGTTATCTACTACTAATGATTTAGAAATCTGGGTTGGGGTTATCTGTTGCCCATTTTTTGCCAAGGTATCTGGAAAGGAATCACTTTCCTTTACTACTTGAGAAGTAGGAGTGGGCAGTTTTTCACAGGCTGCTGATTTCAGAACCTCTAGAGGAAATGACTTATTCAACAGCTCTGATGGTGTTCTGGGACAGGTAAATGTAATATTTCTATTTTCGTCCATATAGGCCATTCCTTCCATTCCCTGGTCCCCTGTGGTTTCCATGGGAACATGTATTTTTGTTGCATCTATCTTATTCTCCAGAATGTGTTTCACAGGAGAACTATTTTTAACCTTTTTACTTTTTCCATCATTACTCCTTTTACTTGGTTTGTCAGCTACTGCAGTGTGTCTATTGGCTGCATCTGTCTCATTCTCCTCAGATACTACTGAAGGAACGAATCCTGCTCCCTGGATTTGCTCTTGGCAGCTCACATCTGTCACCTTGGCAGCTGGTTCAGTAACAGCAGAAGCCTTGACTGTACTTGTTTTGCTTTCCTCAAGAGTCCCAAGCTCAACAAAATTAACCTCAACATTTCCACACTTTCTGTCAACTGCTTTGACTGTGGGTGTACCTGCTATATGTGAGAACAACAAATCATGTGTTTTGGGGAAAGTAAGTCCTAATTCCTTGCTTTTATGGGGAATACTACCAGCAACTCCGTCCTTTCCTTCAAAAGGTGGGTTGAGGATTTCTTCCTTCCTCTCCATTTTAGCAGGCTGTGTGGAATAATTATTTCGAAACTTTCTGCTTTTGCCTTCATTGCCTCTCTTTTTAGGCTTTTCAGAAATCCAGGGAGCTGTCTCATGATCCTTCCAAGGACATTTTCCTTCCTTGCTCTGGTTACTGACACTCATATCTTTGACTCCATCTCCTGTTTCTGTCCTAACACCAGAAGTCTGAGTCATGTCTGATTTACTTTCCAAGGGAATCAATGCCTGCAGGGTGTCTGCCACCTTAAGCTGAGTAGTTTCTTTAGGCTCCCCTATCACTGCTGCCTCCATGAGATCACTCATAGTGCCTGGTTGCTTTGAATAATTCAGCCCCAGCTCCTCACTCTTATCCTGAGTAGCCATTCCTTCAGTTTTAGGGACTGGCTCACTCTGTATGAGGACAGCCCTTCCTTCCTTCTGGCTGTCCAGAAGAAACGGCAGCTCAGATTTTGCTTTTACCTTCCCAGAATCTGTTCTCATTTTCCCAGAACTTCCCCTTCCCTTCCTGCTTTTGCCATCACCTGCCATTCTCTTAAATGGTTCATTCTCTAGCCCAGGGACCTGTACCATCACTTGGCCCTGCAGCTGCTCAGAAGTAAAGATGCTAATCTCTTGTCTTTGCTTGGGAAAAGCTTCCTTTTTTAGTTCTTTATCCTCTCCAGCTCCTTCAGGAAACACTTTCTGTTTGACATTCTGCAGTTTAGTCATTTTGCTTTCACTATTCCCTTCTTTTAGATTACATTCTAATAGATTACTTGCTATCAAATTTGGTAGTTCTTTTGCTGCTGTGGGTTTTAAAACTATACCCATAACCTCTTGGTCCAAGAGAGGACAGCAACTCTCTTTGAGTGTGCTATCCAAATGAGTTTCTACATTGTATGCTGAAACTTCTGCTAGGGGCCCTTTCAGATTTAGAGGGCCTACTAACTGGCTTTTATCTACAGGAATCTTCAGGTGGGGTGCAGGCTGTGGTTTGTATTCAAGTTGCTTCAGCAATTTCTTGTCTTGGCTTTGTGGTACTGACTTGTTACCTTTGCTCTCTTCATCTCCTCTCAGTGTGGACTGAGAACTTACTGCAGTTTCTGGGGGTTCTTCTGAAGGACATAAAGGAATTCTGAGGCTGTCTGAGACAAAGTTCTCAGCTACCAGTCTGGCTGCACTAGAGTCAACTACACATTCCCTTTTCAAGTTTTCTCCAGATACAAGTCCATATTCTGTACTCATAGTGGTAGGTTGGCTGGGAAGAACACCTGCTTTTTGTGTGTCAGCTGGAAAGGGATGTCCTTTAGGCTTATCTGCATTGTCATCATTCCAAGGTCCTCCAGCCCGGGGTTGAGAGTATCTCTTTTGTTTTGGTTTCTTCTTCTTTTTCTTCATCATCATTGGTGTGCTTTCTATATCCCAGGACTCCCTGCCAAGATCCCTCTGGGGTTCAAGTGAGTCAACATGAATACTTTTCCTTTGGTTCCTAGGTTCACCACAGGAGGATGAACTAGAGACCCAACCTGACTCAGACAAAGAGCAGTGGCCCAGCCTGTGATCAAGAGTCTTCCATGGAGGAGGGCCTCCCAGCAGCTCAGGAGGGACCCTGGCAGGCTTGGGCCGGGCTGACCTGTGGTCACTGGGTCTGCAAGCTTGTTTGGCTTGTGTGGGAGGGGTACCGGAAAACATGAAGTTGGCTAAAATTCCAAACAAAAAACTCCTTGTTATTGTTTCTTAAAAACAAAACAAACAAACAAAAAACCCCAGATAATAGCTCATTTAAGTAGACTATTTTCACCAATCCATATATTACTTAATGTAATTTGCTCAGGAAAAGTTTTTTTCTAAAACATCTCTCACTTTTAACTGGTGCTAGCAAAAATATTTAACATAGATCATCATCTCAGGTAAATATTGTTTTCAAACATATTTATAAAATATTTGAAATACTTCATTTCAGACATAGCAGGACTGAACTTTAAAAAATGAAATATTTTGGGCTGGGCACAGTGGCTTACGCCTATAATCCCAGCACTTTGGGAGGCTGAGGTGGGTGGATCACAAGGTCAGGAGTTCAAGACCAGCCTGATCAACATGGTGAAACCCTGTCTCTACTAAAAATACAAAAAAAATTAGCCAGGCGTGGTGGCGCGTGCCTGTAATCCCAGCTACTCAGGAGGCTGAGGCAGGCGAGTTGCTGGAACCCAGGAGGCAGAAGTTGCAGTAAGCCAAGATCGTGCCATTGCATTCCAGTCTGGGTGACAGAGCAAGAATCTGTCTCAAAAAAAAAAAAGAAAGAAAAGAAAAGAAATGTTTCAAATCTTCTAACCTCTAAAATAAGCACTTACTGCCTGTAAATCTCATCTGATTTATATTGGTCATTATTAGTGCTTGCCTCTTTTTTGGTGAAATTTATTAGTTGCTTCAGTTAAATATACATGATTTTGGACAGAATTTATAATTCTAAGAGTTGGTCATCAATATTAAACTAATACTTGTCAAACAAATCAGATGGATTCTGGGAACTAGATCAGAGGTCCAGACCTAAGTCACTTCACGCACATACACAAAATATAATGAATCCACATTTAGGTCAGAGAAAAATTTTCATCATTTCAGAACAAAAGCATCCTACTTCGAAAGACAAGTATGTTAAATTTCAACGTTCTGCTCCTAAATGTACTTCCCAAAAGACAGAGAAATACATACAATGTTAAGTAGGATAATTAATTTCAACAATTAAGATGAGCACCTTTGGAAGAGCTTCAGCAGGTGATCTGGTCCAACCTGCCTCCAAGTTAATATGGATCCAAGATCCTGGAAAGAGTCTCATTAAGAGCAGGTCTATGCCAGCTCCTGTAAAGTCTGACCCAATAAACTGATTTCCAGGAGTATTATAATATGCAAATTGTATCTTTCATTCTTGTCCTTTTCTTTCCAATATCATCTAAATCCTACCATTTATTTAATGTCTTAGGTTAATTATTGCATCGCTCAAAAAATTGCTAGGCTAAAACACCCCACAGTATTTATAAAATTTAATTCAGCAATTACTCAGCAGCTATTCAGTGCCATCTTTTATGCTATTTTATTCAATTATTATGTAAATCTTGAGTTTCAGAGTTCATGCCTGAGAACTTCTCTCTTCATTCAGGTTATAATATAATAATTCAGGCCGGGCGCGGTGGCTCAAGCCTGTAATCCCAGCACTTTGGGAGGCCGAGGCGGGTGGATCACGAGGTCAAGAGATCAAGACCATCCTGGTCAACATGGTGAAACCCCGTCTCTACTAAAAATACAAAAAATTAGCTGGGCATGGTGGCACGTGCCTGTAGTCCCAGCTACTCAGGAGGCTGAGGCAGGAGAATTGCCTGAACCCAGGAGGCGGAGTTGCGGTAAGCCGAGATCGCGCCATTGCACTCCAGCCTGGGTAACAAGAGCGAAACTCCGTCACACACACACACAAAAAAAAAATATATATATATATATATACATATATATATATAATAATTTGGGGGCAAAGACTGGGACTTAAATATCTATGTGCCTTAACATGGTGTATTTTGTACAAAATAAGCATTTGATTTATTGTGCTAGATAGTGTGCAAAGTACTAGAGATTCTAAGTAAAATAAGTCATGGCCCCTGCCCTCAGGATGTCCATATTCCAATCACAGTCACAGAAAAGTAAACAGAAAATCAAGTTGATAACCATACACATATGCTTTTGGCTTATCAAAACCAGGTAATCTTAAAATTCACCAAATAATCAGATTTTAAGTTGGAAAGTATCTTAGAGAGTACCTCTCACATTTTAATAAAAATTAGAATTATCCAAGGATCTTATTAAAATGCAGATTATAATTACAAAAGCCTGAGGTAGAGCCCAAAATTCTGCATTTCTAACAGGCTCTCAGGCATTGGAGATGCTGTTGGGCCATGGAACACTGTAACTAATAAGGCTCTAGAGATCATTTGACCAATTAATTTATCTTATAGCTGAGTAAACTGAGATATGGGCAAGTTATGTAACTTGCCTAAGAGCACACAGGATAGAGTAATGAACAGCTGAACTGGATCAAATTTTGGTGTCGTTTCTTCACTATGAAAACAGTGGAGATTCACTGGGGTGAGGGAGAAAAAGAACAGAAAAAATAAGAAAACAGTGGAGAAGGCCGGGTGCAGTGACTCATGTCTGATAATCTCAACACTTTGGGAGGTAGAGGCAGGCAGATCACCTGAAGTCAGGAATTCGAGACCAGCCTGGCAAACGGGGTAAAACCCTGTCTCTACTAAAAACACAACAATTAGCTGGGTATGGTGGTGCATGCCTGTAATCCCAGCTACTTGGGAGGCTGAGGCAGGAGAATCGTCTGAACCCGGTAGGCAGAGGTTGCAGTGAGCTGAGATCACACCAGTGTACTCCAGCCTGGGCGACAGAGCAAAACTCTGTCTCAAAAAAACAAGCAAACAAACAATAAACAGTAAAGGAAAAAAAATTTAGGTGTCCTGATTTGCTGTAGTAGTAATTTTAAAAGATATAACAGGCCAGGCGCAGAGGCTCATGCCTGTAATCCCAGGACTTTGGGAGGCCAAGGCAGGCAGAACACGAGGTCAGGAGATCGAGACCATCCTGGCCAACATGGTGAAGCCCTGTTCTACTAAAATACAAAACACTAGCCAGGCGTGGTGGCATGTGCCTGTAGTCCCAGCTACTCAGGAGGCTGAGGCAGAGGAATCACTTGAACCGCAGGAGGCGGAGGTTGCAGTGAGCTGAGATCGCGCCACTGCACTCCAGCCTGGTGATAGAGCAAGACTCTTTCTCAAAAAAAAAGATATAACAAGCTGCCTTTCTGTCTAAACAAGATAAAATCTGTCTAAGAGAATTAACTTCATAAACTATACTGCTAATTACCACCATACAACAGGGAACTAGAGACAATGTCTACCATCACTACTCCATTGCCCCTAATTTGTTTCAAAGAGTTCCTTTTGTTTTCCTAACTTACCTGAGATCTCTGAAGAAAGCTCAGAAGGTTGACTGTTGCATGGTTTCTTTTCCTCTAGTTTTTCTAACACAGAATCTTCATTGGCTGGCAAGCTGCACTTTTCCCCCATATCTGTGATGGGTTCTAAAGGTAGCAACAAAAAGCACACATGTTTCAGAGAAGCACTATTTCAGCCATTTTCCACCTGCCAGAAATTGAATATGGGATTCGTTTCTAAGGAGTTCTCCTACAAGGGGCAGCAGAGAAGTAAAGTGGTAGTTGGAAACTGAAGTTGGGAGAGTTTGTCATTTTTTTTTTTTTTTTGAGATGGAGTCTTGTGCTGTCGCCCAGGCTGTAGTGCAGTGGCGCGATCTCGGCTCACTACAATTTCTGCCTCCTGGCTTCAAGCAATTCTCCTGCCTCAGCCTCCTGAGTAGCTGGGACTACAGGTGTGGGCTGCCATGTCCACCTAAGTTTTTTTGTATTTTTAGTAGAGATGGGGTTTCACCATGTTGGCCCAGATAGTCTTGATCTCCTGACCTCATGATCTGCCCGCCTCGGCCTCCCAAAGTGCTGGGATTATAAGCGTGAGCCACCGTGCCCAGCCTGTTTTGTTTTTAAGATGGGAAAAATAATAAATGTTTGTAAGTTGGTGGGAATGATCCAATGGAAAAGGATTTAAATTGGTGAGGGGCAAAAAATGAGGAAAATACGCAGGGCAACATATCAAGTAGGAAAAAGGAGATGGAATCTACTGTAAAATGAGAGGTTGGTCTTAATTAGGAGCAGGAACAGTTTACTTATAAAAAACAGGAGCATTTTCATAAGCAGAGTCCATGGATACAGACACAAGTAGCTGGGTAGGTGAAAGAATAAAAGTTTGTGGATGTTCTATTTTATTGCTTGAATTATCTGAAAGAAAAACAGGACAATCAGCAGAGAATGAAGACAGAAAAGGTAGGTGTTGGAGGTGGGAGGAGGGAAAAGGTGAGAAAGAGTTGTCTAGGAGAGCAGGAGTATGAATAAACTTGCAAAGTACAGCGTGACTGTCTGTACTTTACCTGGCATGATGTTTGTCCTTAGTCTTCTTGAGACTACACCCTGGTAGAGAAAAATACTGAGAGTAAGCACAAGTACATACCTGGTGAAATCATCAAAGTAGGTGCAGCTGACTGCCCCGAATCCTGCAGAGATTCTAAAAGGGAATCCTCACTTATTCCTTTTTGTGTTTGTGCAATTTCCATGTCTTTAATTCGAACTGATGTTGCCTCTGTTTCTGAGAGTGGTGTAACATCTTTGGCTGGAGTCACATTGTTGGCCGGGGTCAGAACCCCATTCTTAGCCAGGGCTGCTTCTGTTTTGGGTGCTGGGACCTGGTCCTTAGTCAGGACCACCTCTGTTTCTGGAGGCAGACATACGTTCTTCATGAGAACTACTTCTGTTTCTGGAGGTGGAGTCACATCCTTGCCCAGAGCCATTTCTGTTTCTGACAGTGGAGATAGGTCCTTCTTCAACGAGGCCACTTCTTTTTCTGTGGACGGAGCCACATGCTTGCCCAGGTCCATTTCTGTTTCTGGGAGTTGAGCCATGTCCTTGACTGGAGCCACCTCTGCTTCTAAAGGCAGTGCTTTATCCTTGGTCAAGAACACATTGGTTTCTGGGGGCTGTGCCATGTCGATAGCCAGGGCTACCTCTGTTTCCGAGGACAAAGCCACTTTCTCAGTGGAGGATGTTTCTGAGGATGATATAATGTCTTTAGCCTGTGCCACCTCTATTTCTGAGGGTAACGCCAAACCCTTGGCTGGGGCTACCTCATTTTCTTTCGGTGGTTCCATGTCCTTAGAAGGAGCCAAGTCCATTTTTATAGGAGGTGCCCTCTCTGTTTCTTTGAACAGTGTCACATTCTTGGCTGGGGCTATCCCTGTTTCTGTGGGAAGTACCACATGCTTGGCCAAAGACATATCTGTTTCTGTGGGCCATCTGACATCCTTAACTGGGGTCACTTCTGTTTCTATGGGTAGTTCCATGTCCTTGACTGGGGCCATATCTGATTCCATGGATGGCTGTGTGTCCCTGGCCAGAGTCACATCTAATTTGGTGGGTGGTTCCATATCTTTAGCCAATGCCACTTCTTGTGCCATGTCCTTGGTGACAGCTATATCTGTTTCTTTAGATGGTGCCATATCCGTAGTATTCAGTCCCATCATTATTTCCAGTGCTTGTGCTGGTGGCCTCTCTTCTTCTGATGCCATTTCTATTTCCTTGGCTAGCTCTAAAGGAAAAAAATTGGAAATTTAGGACACATCATTGTCTACTCATACCTTTGCATTAAAAATGTTTACTTTCTTCAGGCATAAGAGTATTTGGGTTTTGTGACCATAAGACTGCACACATAACTAAGAAGCTAATGTCAAATAACCTATTCTGCCTACTCTTTGACAGTCTCAACACTTGGAAGAATAAGATGTAAGATAGTAGGAGGATAAGTAGTGGAGGAGAAAAGGCAAAGAAGAGAGAAAACACAGGCTTCAAAAAAAAAAAAAAAAAAAAAAACATGTGCACAGAATTAGTATTAGAAAGAGAATCTGTGGGACAACAGGTCAGTCATGCTTCCTATCAAGAAAAATCCCAGAGTTCTAAATCTGTACTGAATTTTTTCTTTTCGAGATGGGGTCTCACTCTGGGTTGCCCAGGATGGAGTACAGTAGCATGATCTTGGCTCCAGGGTCCAAGTGATTCTCCTGTCTCAGATACCTAGTAGTTGGGATTATAGGTGCCCACCACCATGCCCAGCTAATTTTTTTCTTTTAAGAGATGGAGTTTCGCTGGGTGCGGTGGCTCACGCCTGTAATCCCAGCACTTTGGGAGGCCGAGGCGGGTGGATCACGAGGTCAAGAGATCGAGACCATCCTGGTCAACATGGTGAAACCCCGTCTCTACTAAAAATACAAAAAATTAGCTGGGCATGGTGGCGCGTGCCTGTAATCCCAGCTACTCAGGAGGCTGAGGCAGGAGAATTGCCTGAACCCAGGAGATGGAGGTTGCGGTGAGCTGAGATCGCGCCATTGCACTCCAGCCTGGGTAACAAGAGTGAAACTCTGTCTCCAAAAAAAAAAAAAAAGAGATGGAGTTTCGCTCTTTCACCCAGGCTGCAGTGCAGTGGCATGATCTCAGCTCACTGTAACCTCCACCTTCTGGTTTCAAGCAATTCTCCTGCCTCGGCCTCCCGAGTAGCTGGGAATGCAGGTGCCTACCACCACACTTGGCTAATTTTTGTATTTTTAGTAGAGATGGGGTTTCACCATGTTGGCCATGGCCAGGCTGGTCTCAAACTCCTGACCTTGTGATCTGCCCACCTCGGCCTATCAAAGTGCTGGAATTACAGGTATGAGCCCTTGTGCCCGGCCCAATTTTTGTATTTTTTGTAGAAAGGGGGTTTCACCATATTTGTCAGGCTGGTCTGAAACTCCTGACCTCAAGTGATCTGCTTGCGTCAGCTTCCCAAAGTGCTGCGATTACCGGTGTGAGCCACCACACCCAGCCGCAAATCTATACTCAATTTTTAAAAATTCAGATACCTAATACAATGAAAATGTGATGTAAAAAACATATATATATATATATATATATTAAAAAAATAAAAAATTTTATTTATTTGCCCATTAACCCAAAGTGTTGTAGTTCAATAATTCCTCCAGTGGTGATTGTGACAGTTCTGAAAAAAAATTTTTTTTGAGACAGGGTCTCGCTCTGTTGCCAGGCCGGAGTGCAGTGGCGCAATCTCGGCTCACTGCAACCTCCACTTCCTGGGTTCAAATTCTCCTGCCTCAGCTTCCCAAGGTGCTGGGATTACAGGCACCTGCCACTACGCCCAGCTAATTTTTTGTATTTTTAGTAGAGACAGGGTTTCACCATTGCGGCCAGGTTGGTCTCAAATTCCTGATTCACCCACCTCAGTCTCCCAAAGTGCTGGGATTACAGGTGTGAGCCACTGCACCCAACCAGTTCCGAAATTTTTATAACTGCTGTAAGCTGCTAAAAATATACCAAATGACTTATATTGATTATCAATACTGCAACCATTAACTGTTAAAGGGAGTCTCTAATATTTTACCTGCTGTTGGCTGAGGAGGTTCTGCACTGGCCTCTGGGGAAACAAAGGACTGTGAGTGTGGAGAGTTTAAGGCTTCCACAGACCACTCCTGAGGTACAACAGCTGTGTTGCAGGGAGACATACCTAATATTGAAACACAAACAAACACATTTTGAAACTTGGTAAACACTGGAAGCGAATGATATCTGATATTTAAAATCAGCTGCATATATTGCCAGGAAGATAGACTAATAAAAGCAATGCCAAAAAATTTTAAAGGAAACACTGCTGACATTCTTCAGGTTTTAGCTAGTTGTTAGTAGGTGGTATAGTATATCCCAATATGCCACTAATCAACATTCATTGTCTGCCTTCTACAGGATAATATAAAGATTCAAAACATCAATCATTGAACTCTGGTTCTAATACCATAACCAACATAATATACTATAGTAAAGAATTTTTTGTGAGCCTTAATTTCTTCCTCTGCAAAATGAGATGAACACCTTTCTTTCCAATATTAGAAGACAATTTTACGAAGATACTTTGTAGCAGGTTTTTGTTGTTGTTTTTGAGATGCAGTTTCACTCTTTTGCCCAGGCTGGAGTGCAGTGGCATGATCTCAGCTCACTACAACCTCCACCTCCCAGGTTCAAGTGATTCTCCTGCCTCAGCCACCCAAGTAGCTGGGATTATAGGCATGTGCCACCTAATTTTCATATTTTGAAATTTTTATATTTTCATTATAGGCATGCCCAGCTAATTTTCATATTTTTATTTTATTTTATTTATTTATGAGATGGAGTCTTGCTCTTGTCACCCAGGCTGGAGTGCAATGGCATGATCTCAGCTCACTGCAACCTCCGCCTCCCAGGTTCAAATGATTCTCCTGCCTCAGTCTCCTGAGTAGCTGGGATTACAGGCATCCTGTAATTTTTGTATTTTTAGTAGAGACGGGGTTTCACTAAGTTGGCTAGGCTGGTCTCGAACTCCTGACCTCAGGGGATCTGCCCACTTCTGCCTCCCAAAGTGGTGGGATTACAGGTATGAGCCACTGCACCTGGCCTCAAGTGATCCACCCGCCTTGGCCTCCCAAACTGCTGGCATTATAGGTGTGAGCCACCAAGCCCAGCTGGTTTTTTTTTGAGACTGGGTCTCACTCTGTTGTCTAGGCTGGGGTACAGTGGCATGATCATGGCTCGCTGCAGCCTCGACCTTCTGGGCTCAAGCAATCCTTCCACCTCAGCCTCCTGTAGGTATGTGCCACCATACCTGGCTGAATTTTAAATTTGTTTCGTAGGACAGGATCTCACTCTGTTGTCCAGATTGGTTTCAAATTCCTGGACTCAAGCAATCTTCCTGCCTCAGTTTCCCAAAGTGCTAGGGTTACAGGCATAAGCCACTGTGTCTGGCTGTAAATGAACAACTAGACAAATGTGGCTGGGTGCAAAGGCTCACGCCTGTAATCCCAGCACTTTGGGAGGCTGAGGCGGGTGGATCACTTGAGCCCAGGAATTCGAGATCAGGCTGGGCAATGTGGCAAGACTCCAACTCTACAAAAAATTACCCAGGCGTAGTGGTACATGCCTGTAATCCCAGCTACTCAGGAGATTGAAGTGGGAGGATCACATCAGTCAGGAAGTCAAGGCTGTAGTTAGCCTTGATTGCATCACTGTATTCCAGCCTGGGTAGGCCGAGTGAGACCCTGTCCCAAAAAAAAAAAAAAAAAAAAAAAATGGGGGATCACAACCCAATTGTGAATCTGTGAGTTGTCTCCTTTGATTAATCCAAAGAGAGCCTTGTCACAGCCAGAGCCCCTAAATCCGACTTTCTTAGTGGTTAACTTCAAAGGTGATGTGTGAAAGGCCATGTTGTTTGGCATTAAACAACTAAAGGAGACTAGAATATGCCACCCCAAAATACGCTACTTTGACGTAAGAACATTTTTAAGCTGAAGGCTATTATTAGCCTGGAGATGGCACCATAGGAATCTACGTAGAAACCTTTACTAACTAGCTTTTACCTACCATTTACTTGCCTCCCAATATTTGCGGGCCCTAGAGACTCAAAAATATTTTTCCTTCATCTTGTCACTTCTCAAAAATTTTTTTTGAGATGGAGTCTTGCTCTGTCACCCAGGCTGGAGTGCAGTGGTACAATCTTGGCCCACTGCAACCTCTGCCTCCCGGGTTCAAGCAATTCTCCTGCCTCAGTCTCCTGAGCAGCTGGGACTAGAGGCGCACATCAGCATGCCTGGCTAATTTTTTGTATTTTTAGTAGACGTGGGGTTTCACCATATTGGCCAGGCTGGTCTCGAACTCCTGACCTCATGATCCACCCACCTCAGCCTCCCAAAAGTGCTGGGATTACAGGTGTGAGCCACCGTGCGTGGCCTCAAAAAAAAATTTATCTTTTTTTTATTGAAGAAGCTATATAAGCTGGAATCGTAAAGCCACCTCTTGCAGAATTACTAATTCTCTAGGTACCTCTCATGTACGTATGAAATTCACATGTTAAACTTTGGTCTCTTCTTTCTTTTCTTTTTTTTTTTTTTCAGATGGAGTCTTGCTCTGTCACCCAGGCTGGAGTGCAGTGGCTCACTACAACCTCTGCCTCCCAGGTTCAAGCGATTCTCCTGCCTCAGCCTCCCGAGTAGCTGGGATTATAGGCTAATGCCACCACGCCCGACTAAATTTTTTGTATTTTTAGTAAAGACGAGGTTTCACCATGTTGGTCAGGCTGGTCTTGAACTCCTGACCTTGTGATCCTTCCGCCTTGGCCTCCCAAAGTGCTGGGATTACAAGCAGAGCCACTGCGCCTGGTCTTTTTTCTTATTAATCAATCTTTTATTATTAAAGCCCTAGTCAGTGAACCTAAGATGAATAAAGGAAAAATTTTTTTCCTTCCCTACAGAATAAATCCATTTGGAGAAGTCATACCATAGCTGTCTTTCAAGGGATGACTTTGTCCTGTAAATATTGAAGAATTGCCTGTTCCACTGGAGATAAAGACCAAATCTGTCAGGCCATCATCACGGTACATCTTAAAGGGATCTGGAATAGAGAAGAAATCCAAAACTCATTCCTGGTGAATGCAACTAGAAAGATTAATATTTCTTTCTTTTTTTTCTTTTTGGGGTGGAGTCTTGCTCTGTTTTTTCTTTTTGGGGTGGAGTCTGTTCCCCAGGCTGGAGTGCAGTGGTGCAATTTTGGCTCACTGCAATTTCCACCTCCCAGGATCAAGTGATTCTCTGCGTCAGCCTCTTAAGTAGCTGGGATTACAGGTGCGTGCCACCATGCCTGGCTATTTTTTGTATTTTTTTTGTGTGGTAGTGATGGGGTTTCTCCATGCTGGCCAGGTTGGTCTCAAACTCCAGATCTCAAGTGATCTACCCCCGCCTCGGCCTCTCAAAGTGTTGGGATTACAGGTGTGAGCCACTGTGCCCAGCCAATATTTCTTATTATCCTATGATGAATATAGATGAGTTGTCAATAGTAAGTAAAATAAATTGAGATCATTTGTGATTGTACATGGTAGAGAATCAATATTCACTCATTTGTTTGTTAATAATAAATATTCCCTTCTCTAAGATTTGGTTATATACATTAGATAGCCAACGAATGTATAAAACAAAAAGGGCAACTAATGCTCAACTGTGTAACAAACTAAGAGGTGAACGTATATAAAACTAAATTTTCAATATACATTTACATAACATTCATACTTTTTAAAAAGACAGAGCCATAAGAAGCTTTTAAAAAAACAAAAACAAGAAGGAATTTTTCACCTCATGGAGATGAAGAAAACTGAATTTCAAAACTGTCTGAATGGGACAAGATAAATAATTGGTATTCTGAGAGAAGAAATAAACTCTTGACTCAGGAGCTGGCATGAATAAAAGCACTCAAAACATCAGGTAAATTCTTTGTGCTTTTGTAGGCTTCTATTTTCTGAGGAGGGCTTTCAGAATGTATCTTATATCTCAATCACCCTGAAGGCTTATTAAAATGAAGATTGCTGGTTCCTGAGAATCTGCATTTCCAACTAGTTCCTGAGTACACTAACACATCACTTCCTTGAGACACTTTAATTGTCATAGACAGTTGCATAAAAGCCCAGGCCTTGAGAGAATGTTCATTTTCTTGCCTCTGAGGCAGCTATACCACTCTCTTTTTGTAAGGAATTTCAGGATTAGGGAAGACCACTGCATCAGGAAGTATGAACAAGCAGAAGGCAATACTGGGAAACTTGTTGAGACGACTTCTTCAGAAAAGCACAGGAGCCTAGAAAAGTGATGCACACCCTGGCTACTTGAGAGGCTGAGGTGGGAGGATCTTCTTGAGGCCAGGAGTTCAAGGCTGCAGTGCACTATCATATGGTGACTATGAATAGTCACTGCACTCCTGTCTGGGCAACAGTGCTAGACCTCCATCTTTAAAAACAAAAACACAGCCTGTTTTTTGTTTAAAAACAACAAGAAAGAAAACCCTTTTCAAAAAACAGAAAAATTGGCCAGGCATGGTTGCGGACCCCTGAAGTCCCAGCTACTCAGCAGGCAGAGGTGAAAGATCAGAGGTCAAGTCTGCGGTTAAGTCATGGTTGCACCACTGCGCTACAGCCTGAGTGACAGAGTGAAACTCCATCTCAAAATAAATAAATAAAAATAAAAACAAACAAACAAAAAAACCAAAATGAAATTAAAAAAAAAAAAAAAAAAAAAAAAAAAGAAGAGGAGGTAGAATATTAAAGAGACGATAAACATTCATTCTTCTCAGTTCTATATGTTTTGGGGTAGCTTGCTGTTTTCTCTGCCTCTCATACTTCCCTTGAGGGAAAATTGGATTCTTCAAGCATCTAAAAGAGTAAATGCTGTATGGTTTGCCCCTTAAGATGGGAGCTTACTAAATTACATGTAAAAATGGATGATCCTTACAGAGTTTTGTCATTTAGTCATTAATTTTTTCCTGGGTGCCTACCACGTGGCAGTTTTTTATGCTCTAAAAAACCCAAAGATGTACAAGGTCAGGGATGGGAACATTTAGCCACAGGATATATTTTGGTTCAAGTTAAGGGACATCTTTGGTTGGTAAGTATTTAAGCTGAGAACTAAAGTATTTAAGCTGAGAACTAAAGAACTGAGTGGTTATGAGGAGTGGGACAAACCTTCTCTCTCTCTACATTCCCTCTCATCTAATCCCACAGTTTAAAATTCCATCTATAGGTTGAAAACACCCGAATTTATAGCTCAAGACTTCTAGACCTCTCCCCTTATTTTCAGACTTTTATGTAGCATGTTTCCAAACCTACTCCTTATATAGTCTTTCCATCTCTAATGGCATTCTATCCTTCTATCTTTTTTTCAAAAACCTTGGAGTCATCTTTTATTTTTATTATTTTGAATGGGGTCTCACTGTATTGCCCAGGCATGTCTCCAACTCCTGGGCTCAAGCTATCCTACCACCTCTGCCTCCCAAAGAGCTGGGATCATAGGTGTGAGCCACAACGCCCGGCAGGAGTCATCTTGGACCTCTCTTTTTCACACACCACAGCCAACCTACCAGAAAATCCATTGCACTTGACCTTCAAATATTCCCCAGAACCTATTTCTTCCCCAGCTCCATGACTAGTGTATCTCATAAGGTTGCAGTCAAGCGGTTGGCCAGGGGCTGTGGTGATCTGAAGACTTAATTGGGGCTGCAGAACCTGCCTGTAAGATGGCTTACTCACATGGCTGTTGACTGGATGCCTCTGTTCCTCTCCCATGTGTGCCTCTCCATATCAGCTGGTTTTTGTCATGATGCATAAACCCAGAGTGATCAAAATGGAAGATACCATATTTTTGTAATTTAATCAGAAATGACACATCACTAGTTCTGCCATCTATTCTACTAATCACACAGACCAAGCCTAGTACAACATGGGAGGTGACTACACAAGGGTATGAATACCAGGAGGCAGGGATCATTGGGAGCCACTGGCAGTTGACTACCACATTCAACTTTTCAGGAAATTAAACTCTCCTGAATTTTTTTTTCCTACTTCAAAATAGGTCATTCCTTTGTTACCCTTGCTGGCTCCTCTTCTTCCTGATTTAAATTATTTTTATTTATCACTTGAGCTCAGGTGGTTGAGGCTGCAGTGAGCTGAAATTGCGCCAATGCACTCCAGCCTGGGTGACAGAGGGAGATTCTGTCTCAAAAAATAAAATAATGAACAAAATATGGTATATCCATACAATGGAATATTACATGTCCATAAAGAAAGTACTGATACATGCCACAAAATGCAGGACTCCTCAAAATGTTATGCTAAGTGGAAAAAAAAAAGACACAAAGAAACTACATTATATGATTCCCTTTACATGAAATATCCAATGTAAGCAAATTTAAAGAGACAAATTGATGGTTGCTTAGCGTTGTGGTGGATAGGGAGATGGAGGTGATATTTAAAAGATATAAAGTTTTTTTTGTGGTAACAAAGTGTTCTAAAATTGACTTTGGTTATTTATCTACCTGACTGACTGCCTGCCTTCCTACCTACCCATCTATCTACCTACATATCTATCAGGGATAGCTGTATGTGTTGCCCAGGCTAGAGTACAGCAGCATGATTCAAATTGCAGCTTTGAAGTGCTGGACTCAAGAGATTCCCCCACCCCAGCTTCCTGAGTAACTGGAACTACAGGCATGTGCTGCCACACATAGCTAGTTTAAAAAATTTTTTGTAGAGACAGAATCTCATTATGTTGTTCAGGCTGGTCTCAAACTCCTTGCCTTAAGTGATCATCATGCCTATGACTCCCAAAATGCTGGGATTATAGGCACAAGTCACTGAACCTGGCTGAATTATACACTTTAAATGGGTAAACTATATGGTACCATGAATCACTGGCCAGGCACAGTGGCTTACGCCTGTAATGCCAGCACTCTGGGAGGCTAAGGTGGGCAGATCACTCGAGGTCAGGAGTTTGAGACCAGCCTGGCCAACATGGTGAAACCTTGTCTTTACTAAAAATATAACAAATCACAAATCAGTCAAGTGTGCGGGGCACCTGTAATTCCAGCTACATGGGAAGCTGAGGCAGGAGAATCGTTTGAACCCAGAAGACAGAGGTTGCAGTGAGCCAAGATCGCACCACTGTACTCTAGCCTGGGCGCCAGTGCAAGACTCCGTCTCAAAAAAAAAAAAAAAGAATTAAAGGCGGGGCACGCCATGGCTTATGCCTGTAATCCCAGCACTTTGGAAGGCCAAGATGGGTGGATCACTTGAGGTCGGAAGTTCAAGACTAGCCTGACCAACATGGGGAAACCCTGTCTCTACTAAAAAATACAAAATCAGCCGGGTATGGTGGCACATGCCTGTAATCCCAGCTACTCTGGAGGCTGAGGCAGGAGAATCACTTGAACCCGGGAGGCAGTGAGCATCTTGTAAGTTAGATGTCAAAAAAGAAGCCATATTTAAGTGGAAACATAACTTGAGCTCTCAACCTGGCTAACATGGAAGTACCAAAGCTACTTCTTTGAGGCTCTTTTAAACTCATTCTTCCTACCAACTCTGGCTCTGAGCTACTACTACAGATATGCCTTTGTTTGTTTTTAATTTTACAGAAATTGGGTATGAGTCAGCTTTCTCTTCTGTCAACAAAGGAATATTAATATATAGGCAGAGTCAGGTAAGAAATACAGATAATGTATATATAAAGGCTCCAGCACTGTGCCTGGCACAAAACAGCACTGGTTTAACATTACCATAATAATTCTTTCTGGAAGAATTAAGGTTCTAAGGTACTATGGATCCTCTAATCTTCAATATATATGAATTTCAGATAATATATTTAAAATAGGTTTTGAAGAACAGGGAACTAGAGGGCATTAGGTGTCTCAAAAGAAAGGATAAATGAAGAAGAGAAAGGGACAAATCAATGCTCAGGTTGTGCTTTGTGCGTTATACTTAGGCTAATACTTTCATCTGAATGGTGGCTGTAGCTTTTTCACATTTATGTGATAGCTCACATTTAGTAGTCACAAGCAAGCCAGGACTTACCAGTCTGGATAGGATTGACCACTTGCTCAGGTTGGAAACAAAAGTTGGTATCTTCTGGCCAGTTCTGGCTGTTTGGGTATTCCTGGTAGGCCATTTTCTCTTCAAGGAATTCAGTTGGAGACCCTTAAAATAGAGACACAAAACAAAAGTTACAAGGTATTTCAGTTTTCTCCACCACAGTGGAATTTCTATAAGTATCACAGCTAATACAATATTAAAAAATCCTTTCTAGCTAGTGTCTTTAAAAAAAACCTTTTTTGTTTTAATTGAAAGATAAAAGGAGCTGGATGGGACATGCGTCTGTAGTCCCATTTACTTGGGAGACTGAGACAGGATTACCTGAGCCCAGGAGTTCCAGGCTGTAATGCAGTATGATCGCACCTGTGAATAGCTACTGCACTCCAACCTGGGCAACACAGCAAGACTCTGTCACTAAAAAAAGAGTTTAAGATAGAAGGAAATAAAGTACTGAAGGCATAAAGTAGGTCATTAAGGTTAAAAAAAAAAAAAAACACTACAGAGTGACTCTAGGTTATATAGGCACAAGAGGTTAGTGATTTCTCCACATAAAAGAACAAGGATAAAACTGTCAAAATCAACCATTTCAGGGCACTGGAATTAAAGGCAGACCTAAATAAATGGAAAGATATAACATGTTCAGGAACGAAAGATTCAATACTGTTAAGATGATAATCCTCAAAATGACCAATATACTGAGGAAATTACAATGAAAATCCTAGCATTTCTTTTTAAAGGTATCAATCAGCTCATTCCATAATTTATATCAAAACATAAAAAAACCTATAAAAGGCAAAACAATTTTGAAGAGAAATAGTTGAAGGGCTTATATAACCTGCTTTTAAAAGTTATTATAAATGTATCAACTCAGGCTGGGAGTGGTGGCTCATGCCTGTAATCCCAACACTTTGGGAAGCTGAGGCAGGCGATAACTTTGAGGTCAGAAGTTCGAGACCAGCCTGACAAACATGGTGAAACACCATCTCTAGCAAAAATACAAAAATTACCTCAGCATGGTGGTACATGCCTGCAATTCCAGCTACTCAGGAGGCTGAGGCTTAAGAATCACTTGAACCTGGGAGTGGAAGGTTGCAGTGAGCCAAGATTGCACGACTCCACTCCAGCCTGGCCGACAGGGCAAGACTATAACAACTCAGTATAGTATTGGCAACACACTTAGGTAAATGGAACAGAACCGGTTCAGAAAGAAACAGGCTATCTACAAACATGCCAGTATAATTCAACCCAGAAACAATTTTTTAAAAATAAATAATACAGAAACATTGGACACATATGCAAAAGTTAACTCCAAACAGATCAAAGACCTAATGTAGTACACTGCTAACTTATTAAGAAAAAAAAAAAAAAAAAAAAAAAAGACAAGACAAAGACCTAAGAGTTAAAACTAAAAAAACATATAAACAGGAGAAAATCTCTGTGACCTTGGATTAGGCAAAGATTTCTCAGACATGCCACCAAAAGCACTATCCATAAGAGACAAAACATATAAATTAGACATCATGAACATTTAAAACTTTTGGTTTTCAAAGATACTATTAAAAGGTCAGTCTCACACCTGTAATCCCAGCACTCTGAGAGGCCGAGGTGGGCGGATTCCCTGAGGTCAGGAGTTTGAGACCAGCCTGGCCAACATTACGAGACTCTGTCTCTACTAAAAAATACATAAATTAGCTGGGCCTGGTGGCTTGCGCGCCTGCAGTCCCAGCTAGTTGGAAGGCTAAGGCAAGAGTATCGCTGGAGCTCAGGAGGGGAAGGTTGCAGTGATCTGAGATTGCACAACTGCACTACAGCCTGGGGCAACAGAGCGAGACTCTCAAAAAAAAAATAAAAAAACAAAAGACAATAACAAAGATACTATTAATGAAAAGAGAAGGCACAGACTTTGAGAAATATTTGCAAATCATAAATCTGATAAAACATTTGTATGTAGAATAGATTATAATCTCTTATAACACAATGATAAGATAAACCACTCAATTTAAAACTTGGAAAAATGGCCCGGTGTGATGGCTCACACCTGTAACCCCAGCACTTTAGGAGGCCAAGGTGGGTGGATCAGGAGGTCAGGAGTTCAAGACCAGCCTGGCCAACATAGTGAAACCTCATCTCTACTAAAAATACAACAAATGAGCTGGGTGTGGTGGTGTGCACCTATAACCCCAGCTACTCAGGAGGCTGAGACAGGAGAATCGCTTGAACCCGGGAGGTGGAGGCTGCAGTGAGCTGAGATCACACCACTGCACTCTAGCCCGGGCAACAGTGCAAGACTCTGTGTCAAAAAATTTAAAAATTGGCCAGGTGTGGTGGCTCACACCTGTAATCCCAGCACGTTGGGAGGCCGAGGTGGGTGGATCATGAGGTCAGGAGATCGAGACCATCTTGGCCATGGTGAAAGCCCGTCTCTACTAAAATACAAAAAATTAGCTGGGTATGGTGGTATGCCCCTGTAGTCCCAGCTACTCAGGAGACTGAGGCAGGGGAATCGCCTGAATCTGGGAGACAGTGAGGTTGCAGTGAGCTGAGATTGTGCCACGTTGCACTCCAGCCTGGCGAAAAAGCAACACTCCGTTTCAAAAACAAAAACAAAAAAAATTAAAAAGAAAATGGAAAGAGAAGCCACAGACTTCGAGAAATATTTGCAAATCATAAATCTGATAAAAGATTTGTATGTAGAAGAGATTGTAATCTCTTGTAACACAATGATAAGATAAACAACTCAATTTAAAACTTCGAAAAATGGCTGGGCATGATGGCTCACACCTGTAATCCCAGCACTTTGGGAGGTTGAGGTGGGTGGATCATTTGAGATCAGGAGAGACCAGCATGGCCAACATGGTGAAACCTTGTCTCTACAAAAATACAACAAATTAGTCAAGTGTGCTGGGTACCTATAATTCTAGCTACTTTACTCAGGAGGCTGAGGCAGGAGAATCACCTGAACCAGGAAGGCAGAGGTTGCAGTGAGCCGAGATCACATCACTGCTCTCCAGCCTGGGTGACAGAGCGACTCTATCTCAAAAACGAAACGAAACAAAACAAAACAAAACAAAACAAAAAACCCAAAAAACAAACAAACAAAAAAACTGGCAAAATATTTCAACATACATTTTACCAAAGAAAATATATAATGGGTAATATGCACATGAATGAAGCTCATCAGTCCTTATGGAAATGCAAATTAATACTACAATAAAATCCTACTACAAAACCATTAAAAAGGCTATAATCAGTCTGGGCACAATGGTTCATGCCTGTAATCCCAGTACTTTGGGAGGCTGAGGCAGGGAGATCACCTGAGCCCAGAAGTTTGAGACCAGCCTGGGCTGGTAGAGACCCTGTCTCTACAAAAAACACAAAAAAATTAGCCAGTTGTGATGGTAAGTGCCTGTAGTTTCAGTTACTCAGGATGCTGAAGTGAGAAGATTGCTTGAGCCTGGGAGGTCAAGGCTGCAATAACCTACGATCACACTATTGCCTTGGTGACAGAAAAAGGCCCTTTTTCAAAACAGAGGCTGTAATCAAAAAGACTGACAGGAGCAATTTTGAGGATATGTAAAATGGTAGTTTGGTGGTTATTTATTTATTTACATTTTTCTCAAAAATGCTCTTTTGTTGTTGTTGAGACAGGGTCTTGCTCTGTCATCCAGGGTGAAGTGTGAAGCATGGCTGACTGCAGCCTCAACTTCCCAGGCTCAAGTAATCCTCTCACTTCAGCCTCCCAAGTAGCTGCCAACTACAGGCACTTGTCACCACACCTGCCTAATTTAAATATATATATTTTATGATTATAAAAATATACATATATACACATATACATATATACATTTATTTTATTATTATTTTTTGGTAGAGACAGGGTCTCATTATGTTGCCCAGGCTGGTCTCAAATTTCTGGGATCAAGCAGTTCTCTGGTCTCAATCTCCCAAAGTCCTGGGATTACAGGCTTGAGTCACTGTGCCTGGTTCTACCTGTATTTTTAAAGACTAGTCAAGTAGAGCAGTGAGAAGCAGGGAAGGAGTAGAACAAAGAGTTCGATCTGTAACTGACTGTGAACAATTGAGATAACTCACTACCTTTGGACCAACCTCTTTTTATTTTTTTTGAAATGGAGTCTTGCTCTGTCGCCCAGGCTAGAGTGCAGTGGCACAATCTCGGCTCACTATAACCTCTACCTCCCAGGTTCAAGTGATTCTCCTGCCTCAGCCTCCCAAGTAGCTGGGACTACAGGCATGTACCACCACGCCCAGCTAATTTTTGTATTTTTAGTAGAGAAGGGGTTTCACTATGTTGGTCAGGCTGGTCTTGAACTCATGACCTCATGATCTGCCCGCCTTGGCTTCCCAGTGCTGGGATTATGGGCGTGAGCCACTGCACCTAGCCCTCTTTTTATTTTTTAAATAACAGCTTTACTGAGTATAATTCACAAAATTCACCATTTTAAAGTAGAGTTCAAAGGTTTTTAGCATATTCACAGTTATACAAGCATCACTACTATCTAACTTCAGAACATTTTCTTCACTCCAAAAAAGAAATCCCATTACCTTTTCTCCTTTTCCACTTTCCCCTACCCCTTGGGTAAGCACTCATCTACTTTTTGTTTCTACAAATTTGCCTAATCTAGATATTTCATACAAACGAAGTCACACAATATGTCATCTTTTGTGACTGGCCTCTTTCATTTAGCACAATGTTTTCAAGGTTCATCCATGCTGTAGTATGGTATCTGAACTTTCTTTTTTTAGCCAAGTAACATTCCACTGTGCGGATCCACCACACTCTGTTTATCCATTCATCAGCTGACATTTGGTTGTTTCTACTTTTTGGATATTGTGAATAACACTGCTATGAACATTCATGTACAGATTTTTGTGGGAACATATGTTTCAATTCTCTTGGTTATATCTCTAGGAGTAGAATTGCTGGGTCATAAAGCAAATTTATGTTTAATATTTTGAGACAGTGCCAAACTGTTTTCCAAAATGGCTGCATCATTTTACAATCTCAACAACAATACATGAGGACTCCAATTTCTTCACATCTTCACCAACATTTGCTATTATCATCCCAGATGTGGCAAGAAGTG